CAACCCCCCCCCCCCCCCCCCACTGAATAGTACTCCATGGTGTAAGTATACCACATTTTATCTATTCTTTGGTTGAGGGGCATCTAAGTTGTTTCCAGGTTCTGGCTGTTAATGAATAATGCTGCTATGAGCAAGTGTCCTTGTGGTTTGATTGAGCATTTATCTCATCATTTCTGTATTATATTCTCTTTTTTCCCTTTATAAAGAGAACCTTGAATCTAATCTCTTTTGTTTAGCTTTTTTCCTAATCGTTAGCAATAACAGCTTGTGACCAATCTCCCTAAACAACGATAAATATCCATAACCTAATGAAAGACCAAAAACCACCTACCCCACCTCTTGGGAATGTGGGCATCATGTTGTTAAATTTACTTCCTCTGGTCTGGAGACAACAGAATCTTTAGAGGATCCTGAAAAGAAAAAAAATGAGTTAATTGTCAAGTCCTGGGAGAGGTAGCTGTATTATTTGTTGTCCAGTCTGCATAATGGGAAAGTGGAGTGTTTGTCTCAAGTCCTGGCTAGAGTAGATTGTGAGGCTGGATCATCTCAGCTAGCCACCTCAAAATTGTTCTGAGCTGATTGTAGTTCAAAGCCGATCTTTAGTTGTTGTTTCTCAGCTTAGTGGCTTTTGGAGGCTTCACAGGTTAGGCATGGTCATAGTTCACTGGAGAAAACTGATAGAGATTCAAACCAGATATCATCTACAGGAAGGGAAATTAAACCTTTTTCTGGAATGAGTTAGTACTCCACATGACCGTTAATATCACGACAAAAGTTTAAAAAACATATATATTAATCTTATAAATTTTGAGATAATATTTATGCCTTAAGAAAAGCTGTTGCTGGGTAGTGGTGGCATATGCCTTCAATCCCAGCACTGGGAAGCAGAGGCAGGTGGATCTCTGTGAGTTCAAGGTCAGATTGGTCTAGAAAGCAAGTCTCAGGACTGGCTCCAAAGTTACACAGAGAGACTTTGTCTCGAAAAAACCAAAAGAAGAAGAAGCAAGAGGAGGAGGAGAAGAAGGAGATGGAGGAGGAGGGGAAGAAGAAGAAAAAGAAGAAGAAGAGAAGAAAGAAAGGAAGAAAGAAAGAAAGAAAGAAAAGCAGTTAAGGAGGCAACAAAATACTCCTCAAATATGAAGAAAGAAAGGAAGGAAGAAAGAAAGAAAGAAAAGCTGTTAAGGAGGCAACAATATACTCCTCAAATATTGTTTTTCTTCTGTCGCATATCAGGTGCCTCTTCTGACATGAGAAGAGATTTTAAATTTTACTTTAACAAGCATGCTGTGTTTAGAGAAGGAGCCAGTCACACTTCATCTCCAAAGCCAGCTTTAATCTTTATTTGGAATGGGACTACAAAAAGACCATTTGTGTTACATGTCTGTAGAGAACAAGGAAACAAACATTTTGGAAGATTTATGAAATTTTATCCTATTGTTAATGTGAAATACTAATGAGTCATTTTACTTCTTTTTGGTACATTTTTTGAATGATTTGTCCTTTTTATTTAGATGTTCCATTTGTCCAGTGGTCTTTTGACTCCTTAGATGGATGCTTTTGTTTTCTGAAAAGACAAAACAACAACAACAACAACAACAACAACAACAACAAAACCCCAAAAAACCCAGAACTGTTCTCCAGCCCTTATTTTGGGGAAATTATCTTTTGGCAAGTTATATCTGATCAAATGAAAAGCATTTCTTAGTTTTATAGGATAGTTCAGATTAAATGGCCATGCTGCTTGATGAAGTACCATCTCTTCTAATTAAGAGGTTTTCTCCTAAAAAATAAAAATAGATGTCTCCTGTTCAAATAGAATCTTTATCAATTTTGATTGGACCCATAGCTTTTCTTCTCCTGTGGAAGCAAAAGCAAAACCCCTTCCCCAGCATAACACATTTCCTACTTTGCATTCTGAGGTCAATACATCTTTAACGTACACTGGTTGATTTAATTGTGTAGTTTTTTCCATTACCCAATGTCTGTCTGCAGCTGTGATTCCTTTCTCATTAGCATTTAGAAACTTCAAAGTTAATAAAGCATTATGAAATCTATTTCTGGGGGTCTTTATTATTTCTTTCTGTTTACTTAGCATATCCTTTAGAGTTCCATGTGAACTTTCTATAACTGCCTGCCCTGAAAGGGAATTCAACCAATCACTATGTTTCAGTCAGGACTCATTAACTCTCAGGAGGGGGAGGAAAGAGGAAATCATCTGAAACAGTTGAAACAAACCCTTGCCTGTGACTCTATTCCAAATCTCACCTTTCTTCTTTTTTCCCCATCCCCATTCCCTTGATTCTCTCCCCTATTCCCAGTTTACCCAGGAGATCTCATCTATTTTCCCTTCCCAGGGCAATCTATGCATCCCTCTTAGGGTCCTCATTGTTACTTAGATTCTCTGGAGCTGTGGATTGCAGTCTGGTTATTCTTTGCTTTACATCTAGTATCTACTTATGAGTGAGTATATACTATATTTATCTTTCCGAGTCTAGGTTACTTCATTCAGGTTGATATTTTAAAAATTTCATCCATCTGCCCGCCAAGTTCATGATGACATTGTTTTTTTTTCTGCTGAGTAATATTCCATTGTGTAAATGTATACCATTTTCTTTATCTATTCTTACTCACCTTTCTTCTTAAACACAAGAATAGGAGACCGTGTGCTATGTGACACACATTTAGTTCTGTTTCTCTGTGCTTACTGTAAAAAGTATCATAGGAAAACATAGTTTAAACTTATACCCTAGTGATACTCTACTGTACTTTACTTGAGGATGAAAAACTAACAGTGTGCAACAGACGAGGAGTTGAGTTGTGATTAAGAGACCATTTCTATTTTGTATCTTTAGTTCACTTTTTATTTCTGTGTGAATGTATGCACAGGTGTGTGCATGTATCACAGAGAATATGTGTAGTTAGATGGTAGTTGAAGGAATCATTTCTCTCTTTATATTGTGTGGCAAATG